GCCCCATGCAGTCTAGTAGAAGTTTACCACCATTTCAGAAGACCATGCTGCCTGTATAATTATAAACGTCTACTAGACTACATGGCGCTACAACCCAGAAGACAGCCATCTTCATACTCACCGCCATGACAGCCCGAAATCTTACCTAATACAAATGTTGATTTAAAATTAAGTGCGGTCAGTCTTCTGTCATTTGTTAATATAACCTCAATTTTAACATCACACTTACGAGAAACAGTGACTGGCTTTATGAACTCTCTCCTGGCACGTACGTTTTCCGAACGAACGGGGAATGGGTGTACTGTAACGTTAGAATACGTTGTGGTGTACACAATGTACTTGGAGCACGAGTTTAGCTGCCATCTTGTTTGGCACAACATTACTTCCTTGGCAAGGTGTCAATGATTCGTCTACACAAAACTGTCGCTCGTATTATTCATCACAAAGAAGGAATAAAAAATGATCACGTCTGTCCTGCCACACCTTGTTACTCTCCTCCGGAGAGAGCTCTTAATATAACATTCAACACATGTTTCGCTCTTTGCAGAACTGTCACCAGTAGCAAGTTCCGTAGAATTGGTCCTTATTTACAAACATCCAGTAACATTAGCCTATGAATTACGTACAGGTTTATGCATAACGAAATTGGCTTTCACTCCTAAATTACACAAAAGAAAGTGAAGAGGCGTCGAAAACTGAGAGGGAACTTACAGTGACATCTAAAAATAAGAATTAAAATAAAAAAAATACATAGTCAAACACGTAAATATAAATATACAAACAACCTACGACCGGGACATAAGTTAAGACCGTTAAGCAAATCGCGCAGTGTGAATAATTCAATACCTTAACTTTTAAAATGTTATTCAACCCTTTAAAACCTGACGATAATTACATGGCCCACCTACTTCAACAGCCAGCAATTCTCCATTTTGTAATGAACGTGTTTTGTATCATTCTCACTGTAAACAGCTGTTATTTCCTTAAACAGCGCTAACAAGCTGGTCTTTGTAAGTGTTGTTTTGTTTGAGGTAAGGACTGATTTCTTACATATTATTTAAACGATCATCGGCTTTGAAGGGACAAACTGCATAGGCTAGATGAGAATCTTAAGTCCTTACGGCTGCGAGTATGGAGACCGACGTTTCAGAGATGGTTACTACCTCCATCATCAGGGCGATAAGCAAGGCTACATCGTCATCAAAGTCATCGCCATACTCATCATCATAAAAAATTACGACAATCACTTGCGCCTGACTTCAGATAAAATTCTTAAGATTCACCATTACAATATTTGTTTAATACAGCGGTTCTTGAGCTAAAGCTTCGATTTATATAACATTTAACCCTTTGAAGCTTATGCTCGTCCAGATAATATTTAATAATTCACCACGTACCTCAAAGAAAACACAACACTTGCAATTACAAAGACAATTTTGGTTAATGCTGTTTAAGGAAACAATCGATATCCACATCGAAAATCACAGGAAACGCATTAAACACACTCTATGGTCAAAATACAGAATTAGAGGATTGTTAGAGCAGGTGGTATAGTTACCACTGGGTTTTAGGGTTAGATATTATAAATAAATATAAAGGAACTTTTATACGTCTAGGAAACAGAATAAAATCAAAGATATCGGAGTAAAATTTCTGTTGCACAAACTTCCGTTCCTACAAGACCTGTGCCCTTAATGCTACAACGATATATAGGCCTATTGTTAATTTGCTGTGTTGTAGAACAAAAATATCTTGAATCCAGACTCAAGAAGTGACTACTAGAACTATCCCTTTTGTGTAACCAGAAATAAACTTTGAAGTGTGCTACAAATTAAGTTCTTAATTATAGACAGGTTCTCCCGACAAACATCCATTCCTCTCGGCCATGACTACAGAAAGAACTACTGATCATTTTCGAGGTGCCAACCCCTCAGTAACAAGACAAGAAGCATGTCAACTAATCATCTCCATTGGACTGAATGGGATCATTACAAGAGAACAAAGGCAGATTATATGTACAGTTCTAATACCGAAGAGTCCGAATCTATCCAAAACTTTAGAACATTCTGGCAAATAACGAACGAAGACCCGTGCCAAGTCGCTTTTACTCACGACATTTTTACTGTCGGCTCTATGCTGTTTGACTTTCATTCAGAAAATTAGCAGTCTGTGCTTTAATTACTCGGTAATTGAGATTAGTTCTTTTCTGAACTGAAGATAGGTTTAGCAAGCAAAATAAACAATAAGTATACAAGATTACATTCTAAAGACACGAACTATAATTTATCGAATTCACTGACCAGATTTTATATTTTACACATTTCCACAAATAAAGAGCTCCTGCAATTTCCACTTTAATTCTTAACAATCTCCATACTACGAACGAGATAACTCGACGAATGGATTTAACTTGTGCACCTGTCAAATGTTCTAAAGACGGAAGAGATTCTACAGCGTTCCATAGTTCTAGGACATAGGAGAACTCTGATATTTAGCAAAATATGTGGAAATATGAAGAAATAATAAATTGTTGCAAATCATGTTTCTTATCTCATTTTTTTTTACATAGGACAAGCCGCTACAGCGCTACTCTCTTTATCAATATCAAAAACGTAACAGCCATGTTGCTACGTTGACATGACAGGAAATGGAGGACGTCTTTCAAGAGTAGGGGTACATCATTTTGGGGGGGGGGGTAGTGAATAATACAGAGGAACTACACAGAACACGAAGTCGGAAAAATTATTGACATCCGAGCGACTATAAGCTTTTTAAGGAAGTCTATTTTATGCAGTGAAGGGCATGGCTGTATTCTGGATTCTTGGGCAGCGTAGTCTGGTAGAAGTGTACCGACATTTCAGACCGATTATGGAGGCAGCAAGGACCTCTTAAACATCGGTAATCTTCTATCAGACAGCCTTCTATGAGAAGACAATTACCTTTGTCCAAATTATTGTTCGTAATACATATTCCTACTTCTTACGAACAATATGTCAACATTTGAATAATGATTGGCAAATAGCGGGGGAAAATATTTCAAATATGTAAACTGCTAGCATTAATTTCGATTTCACTTGTTCTTCATGATCTGTAGCTTATTTCAACAACGTAAAAGTAAATCATGAAGAATGAATTCGGGAAGTGTGTATTAGAGGGCAGACTGAAAGCTTTGGGGAAATGTTATCACTTCGGAGGATCTTGGGTGTGCCGTCAATTTTCCACTTTTAATAATTTATATTAGAGCACATTCTCATGATTAAATGATGTTAATTTGTTAGTACCAACTCCGACGTGATGAAATTGGTATCTGTGGTTCGCAGAACATCACACATTTTATTCGTAAACTACGCCATCTTCCTTCCACCGCAATTCCAACACGCGATGGCTCTGACAAAATACATTTATTATAGGACACCACCCATGTCCTATTTAGAACAGGTACAATTGTTCTTAATGGAAACACCTGTTTCTTTCTGAAAAGAACTCCATTGACGTATCGTTTGAACTCAATTTAGAGCTCTAAAATATGTTAACTGGCACAGTATCAAACTCTTGTTTGGAGCGACGCTCTGCGTATTGAGTCACACGAGTTACATTTTACCAGAGCAATGGACAAATTACCCAGGGAATTAGTTCGTCTCCTCACATGTCGGTGGAAACAATGTTTATGTTCTGAGTACAAAATCTTTGTCTGTAAAGTTTCAGCCCACGACATGCATCACGGGAGGAGAAAGCTCTCGCATTGCAGTAACATTTAAGCTGCTTCAGGACAGCAACAGCTTCAAATCCGTATCTTTAATGCCAGATAAGAGCTTAAGTTAATATAAGTTACGTTTGATTTAAGCTCTTATAACAAAGTACCAAATAACAATACAGTACATATCCTTTTTACCGTCTACAAACCGATTTTTAATATACTAATATTAAATTATTTGGAGAAGAATAAAATGTAAGCCAAGTTTGTGAAGTAAATTAGTCGACAAACCGATAAGATTACACAGCTACATCTAACAATAAAATATGTTTTCTGAAAGCAAA